AACGGGCGAAGAACGGTATAAAATAAACTTTTTCGCTGTCGGGGGCGCCTGTCCCAGGGCGGCTGGAAAGTTTATACCCTTACGGTGGCACCGTAGGGGTATAAACTTTCCAGCCGCCCAGGGACAGGCGCCCCCGACAGCGAAAAAGTTTATGTTATACCGTTCTTTCACAGCCTCGCTGAGACTTGGCCATCGTTGCGGATCTCGGTCGCCGCAGCCATCTTGGCAGCCGACCACTCCAGTGGACGCCCCGCGTGCATCGCGACGGCGACCTCGCCAGCGCCACTTCGGGGATGCCCCGCAGGGATCGGCGAGCACGTCGTGCCGATCTCGGTCGCCGCCGCTCTTCAACGGGCGAAGAACGGTATAACATAAACTTTTTCGCTGTCGGGGGCCCTGCCCCTGGGCGGCTGGACAATTTATACCCTTACTGTGGCACCGTAGGGGTTTATAAACTTTCCAGCCGCCCAGGGACAGGCGCCCCGACAGCGAAAAAGTTTATGTTATACCGTTCTTCGCTCGCTGAGATCTTGGCCATCGTGCCGATCTCGGTCGCCGTCGCCAGACTTGGCCAGCGCCACTCCGTGGACGCCCCGCGTGCATCGGCGACGGCCGACCTCGGCCAGCGCCACTTCGGGGATGCCCCGCAGGGATCGGCGAGCACGTCGTGCCGATCTCGGTCGCCGCCGCTCTTCAACGGGCGAAGAACGGTATAACATAAACTGTTTCGCTGTCGGGGGCGCCTGTCCCTGGGCGGCTGGAAAGTTTATACCCTTACTGTGGCACCGTAGGGGTATAAACTTTCCAGCCGCCCAGGGACAGGCGCCCCGACAGCGAAAACAGTTTATGTCATACCGTTCTTCGCTCGCTGAGATCTTGGCCATCGTGCCGATCTCGGTCGCCGCCGCCATCTTGGCCAGCGCCACTCCGTGGACGCCCCGCGTGCATCGGCGACGGCCGACCTCGGCCAGCGCCACTTCGGGGATGCCCCGCAGGGATCGGCGAGCACGTCGTGCCGATCTCGGTCGCCGCCGCTCTTCAACGGGCGAAGAACGGTATAACATAAACTGTTTCGCTGTCGGGGGCGCCTGTCCCTGGGCGGCTGGAAAGTTTATACCCTTACTGTGGCACCGTAGGGGTATAAACTTTCCAGCCGCCCAGGGACAGGCGCCCCCGACAGCGAAAAAGTTTATGTTACACCGTTCTTCGCTCGCTGAGATCTTGGCCATCGTGCCGATCTCGGTCGCCGCCGCCATCTTGGCCAGCGCCGCTCCGTGGACGCCCCGCGTGCATCGGCGACGGCCGACCTGGACCATGACCGAGATCGGTATCGACGAGACATACAGTCAACCCGTACAGTAGGAATGGGCAACCTTCCCACGGGTACCCTTGCATCCTTGCCTCCTCGGCCACTTGCGAGGGCGGCGCCCCGCTGGAACATACAGTCAACCCGTAAAGTAGGAATGGGCAACCTTCCCACGGGTACCCTTGCATCCCTGCCTCCTCGGCCACTTGCGAGGGCGGCGCCCCGCTGGAGGAGCTTCGACATGGCCCTCCAAGGCCCTTGCATCCGCATCGGTATCGTGCGTCCTTGTGGTGCGGGCGGACTCTATTGGCCACGGCCCCCTTCACGCCTTCCCTCGCCGTGAGCGTGTGCGGAGCCCGCCCTGGCGCTGCCAGGCAGGGGCCCCGAGGCCGTGCGCGCCCAGGCGCCCCGAGCCCTCGAGTGCGCGGGGAGTCCCCGGGGCAGTGCGGGCCGAGGGCCCGCACTGCCGGGAGGACGCGGCCGAGCAGCAGCAGCAGCAGCAGCAGGAGCAGCAGCAGCAGCTCGAGCAGGAGATCGACTTCGGAGTTGGCTTGCCCCCGAACTGCTTCTCGCCGAAGCTGCGAAGAATTCATCGATATGGGGCTATCTGATCTCTTCGTGTTTCTGATGTAGATCCGGCGCGGAACTCAATGCTGAAGGGAGTCAACTCTGAGTAGTCGAACCCCCACGGCCCGACCTGGGGCAGAAGAGCATCCTTCAAGAACACGAGACCCTCCGCCGGCCAACCTGAAGAACACTCGAGGGTACCCTCCCCCAGGATGCACAAGAACATCCAACGAGCACGAAGAACATTAGGGTGCCCTCCCCGAACCGACCTCAATCTTATGCCTCGGTCCGACCGTACCGTGTACGCCGCTTTTCGGCGCCCGGGGGGGGGGACATGCAAGACGACTGATTGGACGACGGCCACATCGACGGCGGCGACGGCGACGACTACGACGACCGACGACGTCCGACCACAACGACGGCGACGGCCGCGACAACCACGACGACGCCCGAACTAGAGGCCTCCTAGATGGGGTCGGAGTGCATGGGGTCGGAGGATCGCGCCGCATCGCCGACACATCGGCGATGCAACGTCGACATCAGCGATGCATCGGCGACGTCGGCGTGGAGCAAATCGGGCTCCACATCGAGC